GGTTTTGAAAATAATTTTTGAATTGAGTTTTGAGTTATGTGTTTGGTTACGATTTGAGTGTAGAGTTTTGAAAGTAGTGTGAAGTTTCGAATTATATGTTTGCTTCTGAGGTTTGAAAATAATTTTTGAATTGAGTTTTGAGTTATGTGTTTGGTTACGATTTGAGTGTAGAGTTTTGAAAGTAGTGTGAAGTTTCGAATTATATGTTTGCTTCTGAGGTTTGAAAATAATTTTTGAATTGAGTTTTGAGTTATGTGTTTGGTTACGATTTGAGTGTGGAGTTGTGTTTTGAGTTTAAAATATTAAAATTAAAAAAATTAAAATATTTACAAAATAAACTAAAATATTGAAAATAAAAAAAATATATATTTAAATAAAAAAAATATATTTAAAATAAAAAATAAAATTTTCTTAAACATTTTTTAATATTTAAAAAAATAAATCCAAAAAAATAAGGGTAATAAGAGTAATAAATCCTAAAAAATAATTCATGATTTAATTACTGTAAAAACGTAAACAAAAGGGACAGGGGTATTATCGTCGTTTTGTGCACAAAAGGAAGGTAATAAAGTCATTTACTATGTGCAAGTAACACCGTTTGTTTTAATTTGTCGGAGTGGGAGAATCTGAACAATGTCAGTTAAAGTAAAAAAGATTTGTGTAATTATTCAAATCAAAGAAGCGGTTTCTGTATGCATATACTCTGTAGAAATTAGAAAATAGGTTTTGAAAACTTAACCAAATAAAGATTGATATTACTTTTATTTCACTTTTTTCTTGTACGAGAGAGAGAATAGTTTGAGAAGGTTATGAACCATCCCATGTTTGACATATTTTAATAATTGTGGCTTGGAAAGAATCTACTTTTTGGTCATCACAAAACATTTTATGTTGTTTTTCTTGTTGTTTACAGTTTCCCAATAGGTTGTACATAGAATTTGGAACTAGTCCACATACAATGGGATATGCTGGTAGTATCACATGAAAAATGGAATTATCCTAAATTCACATGAGAATACAATTATATCAAAATATTTTTCATCCACATCAAAATGTATTCATTATCTAGTGTTTGGTATCGCTTTCGTCTTTTATTTGTTTAGAACTGACACATTATTCTTCACAACACCCTTTATTAAAAATACTTTTAAATTTCTTTTTGAAAATTATTTTTACACAAAAATGATAACGATATGAAAACGGTGCATGCTTTTGAATTTTTTATTATTTTGTTTCCAAAACCATGAAAAAGGAAAATGAAAATTTAAAAAACGATACGAAATAGGTTATTTTTGTTGTAGTTTTTCAATTGAAAATTTAAAGTTTCATTTTCAAATTACCTAAACGATATGAGAATTTTTTTTTGACACTTTAAACTAAGGGATGATTTTCTCAATGACTTTATGTTGAGATTGGTGATCACTTTAATATCCCTTCATCACCTTGTGCCTTTTCAAATGGTTCAAGTTAATATAAATGAAAAAATAAAAAAAAATTAAGGAAAATTCTTCTTAGTGCATGGCACACCAAATGCAATCTCTAAACAAAATTACATAAATTTTCGCGAACGTACACAAGTGATCTCACAAAAATATATAAGTTTAACACAAATTTGCATAATTACGTAACTTTTCATGAACTCGCACAAATTTATGTTCAACTTAGCATTTTTGTATGACCACATATATAAATTTATGAAAATTTACATAATTTTGTATATAATTATTCAGTTATGCTACGTAGCTCGAATTTGGCCTGAATTCAAAACGACTTGTCGTTTTGATTTTTTGATTTTTTTTTTTCAGTAACTGGTAGAAGAAGAAGAGAAGAAGAGAAGAGAAGAGGAGAGTATCAGAGAGAGAGAGAGAGAGAGAGAGTCATCATCATCAACCACCCAACAAGCCATTCATCTTCAGATCTTCATCAACATCATCATCAACAACCAACCATTCATCTTCAGATCCAGAAAATAAATAAATAAATAAATAAAAATAATCAACCATTCATCTTCAGATCCAGAACATCTTCATCATCAACAACATCTTCATCAACATCACCATCATCATCATCAACACATTTTCAGATCTAGATCCATCATAATTATTACATAAGCGGTGTATTACATAGCGGAACTTTTCCCGCAAGAAGCCTAAAGCATCCGCATCAGGCTCAGCAAATTTTAAGTCAAATTATAACCCAAAATCCACTTTTGTATTTTAGCTAGCCTCTTTTTTATATACACACTCCATCAAACTCTCTATTTTAAAATTCTATTTCATTAAAATATTATTTTTTATTCTTTTATCTTTTTTAATTTAAATATATATTTTTTCCAACCGTCATATTTTAAAAACAGCTATATTCCAACGGCTATATTCTAACGGTCATATTTCAACGACTATATTTTAACGGCTATATTCTAACGGTCATATTTCAACGACTATATTTTAACGGCTATATTCTAACGGTCATATTTCAACGACTATATTTTAACGGCTATATTCTAACGGTCATATTTCAACGACTATATTTTAACGGCTATATTCTAACGGTCATATTTCAACGACTATATTTTAACGGCTATATTCTAACGGTCATATTTCAACGACTATATTTTAACGGCTATATTCTAACGGTCATATTTCAACGACTATATTTTAACGGCTATATTCTAACGGTCATATTTCAACGACTATATTTTAACGGCTATATTCTAACGGTCATATTTCAACGACTATATTTTAACGGCTATATTCTAACGGTCATATTTCAACGACTATATTTTAACGGCTATATTCTAACGGTCATATTTCAACGACTATATTTTAACGGCTATATTCTAACGGTCATATTTCAACGACTATATTTTAACGGCTATATTCTAACGGTCATATTTCAACGACTATATTTTAACGGCTATATTCTAACGGTCATATTTCAACGACTATATTTTAACGGCTATATTCTAACGGTCATATTTCAACGACTATATTTTAACGGCTATATTCTAACGGTCATATTTCAACGACTATATTTTAACGGCTATATTCTAACGGTCATATTTCAACGACTATATTTTAACGGCTATATTCTAACGGTCATATTTCAACGACTATATTTTAACGGCTATATTCTAACGGTCATATTTCAACGACTATATTTTAACGGCTATATTCTAACGGTCATATTTCAACGACTATATTTTAACGGCTATATTCTAACGGTCATATTCCAACGGTCATATTCTTTCAATATAAATAAAACCAATTGCTATCTAAATTTCATCCATATCAGCCTAATTTTGCTATTTCATTTTGTATTTATTTTCTCTATATAGATCTTCATTCACTAGACGATATGATTCTTTATGACTTTGACTCCGACGATGAGTTGGAGACAATTGGGATAGCTGTTATGGAAGGGCAACGACTAGCAGCCAATAGTTCATCAAGATCACGGCATAATTCTAATCAATGTCGTAAATTCATTCAGCGCAATTCTTTGCAAGGTCACCAAAGACTCTTGCTAGATTATTTTGCTGATCCACCAGTATATCCTTCCAATGTATTTCGGAGGAGGTTTCAAATGAAACGTTCTCTTTTCTCCGTACATTGATTTTGAACAAATCGATGAAACCTCTTTGGCACAAGTGTCAATGAGCGTACAATCGAGCTTATGGAATTCATTCAACAAAATCATCGTATCAGAAACATAGCAATTCATTCTCAACTCCAATCAGATCTTGTTGAGCACTTGTGGCAACTATATAGCCATTCATAGGAATAAGGTTTCATGTTTTATTTAATTATTTTGTGGCAAATAAATGTATTATGTTTTTAATTATTTGTTTTAGTAATGAAAAATGGATTATAATTGAATTGGAAAAGTTTAAGTAAATCATTTTAATCCTTAAATGCTCCTTGTGTTTAACCATATTTTTGGAGTGCAAAATGACGTTAAAACATGTATAAAATAAGACCCAAGACAGCACCAGAGCAACAACAGAACAGCAGCAACACAGGAGCCAGGGTGGTTGACCGACTAGTCGACCGGTTAAGCAAAATTTCAGCATTTTTCTTCTTCTCATGGGACATCCTGGGTCCTGGGGGTCAACCCCAGCTTTGCTCCAGTTCAGTTTTGCTGCCCACAACGTACATACGAGGAAGCCATTTCGATTCAATTATTTAAACATGAAGTCATACAAACATAAACATTCTAAAAACATCCAAACATAAACATTCCAAAACCATTTCAAAAACATCCAAATACAAAAGCATGTTAAGCATGTCAAATATTACAATCACACCACATCATTAATTTTTTTCCTACTCCAAAAACATCCAAATACAAAAACAAGTTAAGCATGTCAAATATTACAATCATCCAAGTAGAAATCATGTAATTACTCCACATCATTAATTTTTTTCCTACTATCAATGATTTCCAGTTGGCGTAGATGATTATATTTTTGTTGCATTGGGGATATCTCACTTGTATTAATCATCATGATTTTCTCTTTCTCTTTCAATTGTTCAGTTTGAGCCCTTGAAGCATGAATTTGATAAGATTTTTGAAGAAGTTCAAGTTTCTTCTTAGTTCATTTTTTTCTTTCTTCTTTCATCTCATTTAGTAATCCACAATTGGAGAACAACTATCATGGTTCTTTACTTTTTTTAACCGCTCATTTTCTGCCTTCCTACCCATAAGTCTCTCTAAGGGTGAGATATTATCTTCTGCTAGTTTGATTGGCTCTAGTGTTGAAGGTGAAGATGTTGGGTCATTTCTAGTCCTTTTCGATTTTTTCTTTTGGCATTGCTTGAACCATTTTGGTTGATGCCTCAACACATTCCAACAATGTTGGAATTGAAATGAGGTTTTATTAACCTCTCAGTACATGATTTTTGCCTTGCCAATCTAAAATAAAAAATTTAAAGCCAATAATTAAGTTCTTAACATAAAATGAAAATGCTAGGAGAAGTATAAAGAGCAATGTAATTAATACCTTGTTGTGACAACCCTCACCACTGATTAGTGCTAATCTATGATTAAGTATGTTAAATGACTGATTGACTGAAATTTTGAACTGATTGATTGAGTGTATAGCTTAAGTGCATTTCTATCTGTTGACTGTTGAATGATCTGTTCATGTTTTGCGCTTTAAACTGTAAATTGAAGGTTTTATCGGCGGCCGAATCTGAAATAGAGTAATGTTTTATGCTAGTTAGAATTTATGTGATTTTATGGTATATTTAATTGAAATGTGATTTGGTATGATTAAATTAGATTTAATAATGTTAAATTATATAAGTTGGCTTTATTTACGTAGTTGCCATTGAGTGGCCTTTCTCTACATCAATATTTGAGACTTGATTAGGAGCTTTTGACACTTTATTCTCAGCTCCTTTCCTTATATCAAACCGACTAGAGAGAGAGAGAGATAGGAGATAGATTGATTTCAACCAAATTGACTTGGAGGCTTAGGAGATTGAAGGTTTCCATGCATATTGAGCTTCTACATTTGAAATTGGAGACTTAAGGTAGAGAATTTACCTTTTTGTTCATATTTTGGGTTGGTTCTTGCATGGTTTAGAGGATTGTTGGAGTTTAGAGCCAAGTTATGGCTTAAATTGTTGAATTGAAACTTGAATCATGCATGCATGTACGTATTCTTGCATTTTGAAGTTGATTTTCATGAAATCTTGCATGCAAGTTTACATTCTTGTTCTAGTCCATGAGTTCATCATGGTTTTGAGTTTAATCTTGCTTTGGATCATGTTTTGAGGCATTAGAATTCACTATAATTCATTCATGTCATATGTTCTTCATGTTCATGAAAACTTGTTTGAAATTGTGTTTAATTGAACTACTTTTGGGTTTTAATTTCTTGAATTGATCTTTGAAACATGTCATATTATGAGTTTACAAGTGTTTTCCAGAAAATTAGCCCAAAATGATCGAATTTGATGCTTTAAAGTTGAGTTTTGAGCTTGAGGTTCAAATCTGGAAATTTCAGATTTTGGACTCACGCTCGAACGGGGAACTCTACGCTCGAGCGTATAATCTGAGTTCATGCAGTCCGCTCGAGCGAGTAAAGTGACGCTCGATCGTGAAATGCGTGTATCCAGTACATTGCATGTGTTTACAGTCCGCTCGAGCGAGGGAATGCACGCTCGAGCGAGGACTTGTGTCTCACGCTCAAGCGGGGGTCAAGCGCTCGTCGAGCGTGAATTTCTTAGATCCAATACTTTTGCAGTCTGCTCGAGCGAGGAAAGTCACACTCGAGCGAAGATCCTTTGTCTGCATGTCCACTCGAGCGTAGAAGGCCACGCTCGAGCGAGACCCCTGTTTTCTGAAAATTTTGAAAAGTGTTTTTACATGCATCTTTGCATCCTCATTCCATCATATGTATTCTTAGGCCTAGTTTAAGGCATCTTAATGAGGATATTGATGTAGAACCACACCGAGGCAAATTAGGGATTAAGTTATTATTTCCCAACTGTGTAGCTTAGTGTGTGTTCATTCTGTAACTGTGTAGGGTTGGCATCCGAGGACGCTCTAGCTGCTTATAGCCCAGTGCTCTGTGAGTAACAATGTTGTAAAAATATGTTCAATCATGAATATTTTCTGAATGAACAACTGTACTGCTTTCTGAAATGATATTTCTTACTGAATGAATGTCTGTCCTATTTGTGAACTGTATTCGTAGCATCCATAGCAATTTACTGTTACTGTTACTGTACTGTACTGCCACTGTCACAGAGATCTCTGTCGGTTTCCATGTTTGGAACCACTACTGTTTACTAATATGATGGCCATCAACTGACTGTTCGGTTTGTTAAGACCTACTGTACTGTTTTTCTATTGGATGTACCACATATGACTATTATAGTTTCTGAATGACTGTTATGGCATGAAATATGAGCCACAAACTGAATAACTGATATACTGATAAATGATTGTTTTCAATACTGAAAGGACATTCATTCTTAACCTCTTTACGCATATGTTATTCACTGGGTTTTAGCTCACTGCTCATATATATATGTAGGTGTTCAAGCACCGGACTGTTGCTAGAAACGTCAGGCTAAGCCCTTGTTTTGTCAAGCCAACCAACGTGCCTCACTGTGAGGTTCCAAGTGTGTTCAAGCTTAGGTTGCTTTTGGGGTGTCTCAGATTCACCCTATCTGTCTCTGTTATGTATAGACTGAATGATATTTGTACTGTACTGTTATGGTGGGGATTTGGTCCCTAACCTGAATGTCTGTAAATGATGTATGTATATACTATTTTTGTTCTAAATGTGAATATGTTATGAAAAATCTTTTTGCATATAGAATGTCACAGCTCATTGGATATCTTTTAATTACTGTTTTGGCTTCTGCCAGCCCCTGTACTCTGTATTATTGTTTTATTGTTAAGCAGACCTTCGATAAACTCGGATTACTGGCCGGTTACGGTGCTAAATCCATAGGGGCGGGTTTGGATCGTGACACTTGTCTTGCTCGTTAACACCACTTTGATGCAATGCTTCAATCTGGGCAAAGTACCCACAAAACTTATTAGTGCCAAGTTGAATAATTGACCACTGATTCATCAAAGAATTATCGTTACGTTCACTAATAAATGTCTTATGCTCGTGAAAGTACTCCCCAACTTTCCTCCAAAAGGTCTTGCTTTTTTGCTCATTTCCATACACTGTATCCAAGCTAGTGTTGAGCCAAGCCGATACAACCATATTATCTTCTTCTATGGAAAAGTTGCCTCCACGTGATTTCTTAGTAGTGGATTCCAATTGAGTAGAGAATGGAGACTCTTGGCCAACCACTTGACTAACTTGACTCATATACTGAGACTCCATGAATTGGCTATCAATGTTAGATCCCACTTGATTTGTAAAAAATGGATCTCAATTTGACTCTATCCCTACAAGAGTTGTGAGTGCACTGATTGTTTAAAAAAATAACCACATATGTTTATTTATTTATAGAGATGACGAAAATATAAAATTCCAAAATTATCATCCTTAACTATTCCAATCCTAATGTGTAATAGGAATCAATTAAAGGAAAATTACAATTTAGTGTAGGTGGAGAAAAAAAATTATAAACATGTAGAGGGTGCAACTTAGAAAACGCAGGGGTGCAACTCACTCAGAGTTGCACCCCTTCCATGTATTCAAAATATGGCATGTTGTTCTGTTTTTGAGCTAATTCTTTTTTTCTTTTTTCAATAGAGATTCCAAATTGAAAAAATGAGTCAAAAATGGTTTTGGTGTTTTGTAAAGCTATGTTGAAAATCAACATTCTTGATTTGCTAATGAATCAATTAGTTGGCATAGCATCTTGGACAAACTAGTGAGGCATTTTATCAAACAGTTACAATGCAAGAACATATATGTGTATAATAACAAAAGTGAATATAGTTCATCAAAAGATACATGATTTTACAATGCAAGAACATATGTGTGTATATAATAACAAAAGTGAATCTAGTTCATCAATTGATACACAATTTAGAGAGAGAGAGAGAGAGAGAGAGAAAGAGAGAGAGAGAGAGAGAGAGAGAGAGAACCTGATGA